TCGATGCGGACTCCATTGGATCTTGCGAACGGCGAACTCGTGCCCTAGCAACTGAGACTCGCACACGCCACCGACCTGGCTCTGCCCTTGCTCGCTAGCTTGCGGCCCCAACTTGACCATGCGACAGTCCCATACGCGGATAGTTTTGTCCACGCCAGCGCTGGCTAGCACGAAGGGCCGATACTTGTTCCAATCAAGTGCCAGGATCTCACCGCCGGAGGCCGGCACAGTTAGGGCGGGCGCTGTGAGAGGCGCTGAGAAGCCCGCGCCTGATCCAGTCGCAAAGGCAGGCGCGCGTAAATCAAATATGCGCACGGTGCCATCAGTGGATGCGGTAGCGAGGACGTCTGGTTGGTGTGGCGAGAAGAGGGCTTGGTAAACACAGGCTTGATGAGCGTGCACGGTTGTCAGAGAACGCGGTAGCTCTGGTGTCCAGATCTTGACATTGCCATCCCATGAGCAAGATGCGAACTGCGCCTTGTTTATGTTTGACCAATCGATGCCGAAGACTTCGCGCGAGTGCTCATGCCAGGCGCGGATCGGCAGGTCCTACCCTTGTAGGCAGCATTCAGCGCTAAACCTATTGCCAATTCGGCTGAACGTACATTCACCGTGACGTCCCATAGTTTGATAGACCCATCCCCCGAGCCAGATACGAGTTGATTCTCGTGTACTTCAGACCACGCGACATCATAAACACCATCTTGGGTCTCGTAGCTACGCAAAGGTTATTTTGACTACGCCTTCCCCATTGGGTAGATCGACATACTATTTGTCAATAGATATCGAGGGAAGTCCAGCTGGACCAGGTACAACAGAAGTCAGATGCAGCCTGCCATTTCCAACGAGTCCGAAGTTCGCTGCAGATGCGATCGCGAGTCTGTGGGTATGGAAGGGGGACCACGCGAGGTTGTAGTGCGCGAATCCTGGCGTATTCACAATATTAGACTGGTTCATCGTCAGTGACACAGGCGTCTGGGTGCGCGATGATGGTCAAGAGACAAGTTGTGAGCATGATCAATCGGCACCGGCGCGGTGCACTGGAAGTTGAGCGCAAGACGCGCGTGAAAGCGCGGCGCGCACGGCGCGTTGAGGAAAGTCCGATGCCGCGCCTCGGCGCGACGTCAACGGCCGCGGACAGGTTTGTCACGTACCACCACCTTCTCCTTGTCTCTTCCGCTGGTCTACTTGGGTCCGAGTTGTCTGCTTCTCTCGAGTCTTGGTGCCTCGTAACACTCGCAATTCGGGCTTTACCAGCAGGCTCACGCAGTCCCTAAGACCGCCGGAGGTATCGGCCCGACGTCAGACTGAGAACGGAACACAACTTTGATGCGCGTTTCTGTGCCACATCTACCTGCTACTCTGCTCGGACGAGCCCCTGTTCCGTTTGTTCCCAAAGATGTCGCCGTTGAACGTATCACGAACTTCTTGAAGCCGGGAAATGTCGCAGTCCTCACAGGAGCTGGGATCAGCGTCGATTCCGGAATCAAGGCGTATAGAGGCAAGGATGGACGCTACATGAATCCAGATTATAGGTAAATAATCATAATTCAGGCCGTCGTGAACTTACTGACGATCCGGCAGGCCCATATTCGTAAGTCGTACGCTGTAGAGCTTTATGCGTGTGGACTTAGGTCCCCTCAGTACCACCAGCTCATCGAAGATAGTGAACGAGGGCATAAGTTCCGGTATGCTAGTCCTCAATACCTTCCTCAGAACCAGCATACTGATAGTGGGCATGTAGGCAGCGTTATTGGTATGCTTTTTGAGACCAGTCTTCGATCAAAGCTTCTCATTACCTTCTAGGCTGCGAGCGTACATCGGTTATCGACCTGTAAAGTATACAGAGCCCAATCCCACTCATTACTGCCTTGCTGCACTCCAGTACGCAAACGTTGTACCTCAACTGATTACGCAAAACGTCGACGGGCTTCATTCTCGGGCTGCTTCACGTGTATGGGATGACGCCTATATAGGACAACGTTTACTCGAGTTGCATGGAACCATCTATGTCCGCGGCCCTTCTCGTCACAGGTCCAAGCTCCCGCTGATGAATCATAGAAAGTGCAATGCATGCATGGACATGTCTACGACCGAGAAACATTCCAGCGCTGGCTGAGCGAAGCCAATCCACAGTGGGCGACTTACATGGACGATTTAGAACACTCCGGCGTAAAGCCCAAGACCAACCCAGACGGCGATGTCGTGCTCGACGAGTCAGTGTCCTATGACGATTACGTCGTCCCAAATTGCCCAGAATGTGCTAAGGTCGGCCGGGTGACGAACATCATGAAGCCGGACTTCGTGTTCTTTGGGGAGAGCCTTAGCGACGCCGTCAAAGCGCGCAGTTACCGCATCGTTGAAGAAGCCGACCGATTCTTCGTGCTAGGAACCACTCTCGCGACTTATTCGGCATACCGGTATGCGTCATACCCCTTCATATACTGTTTAGGCTAGGCTTCTTACCATCGCCTTCTTAACCCCCTCAGTTTGTTGAAGCGGGCGCTGGAACTAGGGAAACCTGTGATGTTCCTTAACGTTGGGCCCACACGCGCAGACGGGCTACCGGGCGTTGAGAAGCTTGAGGTGCCTGCGGGCTTGGTCATGCGCGACGTAGTGCGCTCCGTCGTGTGCGTCGATCATCCTCAATTGTACCGCGCGGAAGGCTCAATTCAACCTCGTGTATATACAGTGGTATCCGAGCTAACTACGACCCCTCCTTGCGCGATATGCTTCTTAGCGGTGTCGTCAAACAGCCGGCCGATTATGGCGAGGACCACTCGGAACCGCCAAGCGTTGACCAGTCTCTCAGTGCGGCGCCTTTTGAAGCAGTCAAGGCGTAGGAAGGTTGGCACCTTGAGAGACCAGCTCGTAAAGATGTTACAGTACACGATACTATTCATCAAGATTGGATATTTCATAAGCAACGATGGTATATACTATAGCAATGGTGATATCGGTTGTGAGGGTCAATATGCGGTAAAACTAGAGGGATAGCGGAATAGAGGTGCGGGTAGCTTGAGACCATTGCAAGATAGACTAGCGGTGATACAATATTCACAATGGGACCATCCAAGAGGGGAACCAAGAGACTAAACGAACATGATGGTATGGGGGCAAGAGTTATTGGAGTGCGGAGCTGAGGTAGGAGGATGTAGATGATGGTGGAGAAGGGTAAACACATCTTGAAGACACATGAGTACACAGGCACGAAGCGAACAGACGAGGGACATGGAGAATAAAGCAAGAGCAAGTTCGACAGCATGATGAAGAATGTGAAAGCGGGCGCCGGAGGCGCGGAGTAGTTCGCGGCGATGTGTATGATTTAGTTTGAGGCACGGACGTTGCTGGTCGGAACACGTATGTCAAGCGGCTCTACGGAAGATTCGCCCATCGTCCAGATAGCCGGGGACAGGTACTCGTAGGTCCAGCTCTCCCAAGGGGTGGGGGACGGCGAGAGCTGGGCGCGGGACTCGTACACTAGTGGTGTACGAGGTTCAAGCAACGGGGGCGCGCGTTCGGACGGCAAGCGCCGCATGCACCGAGTGAAAAGTTCGGCGGGGGATTTAGTGTTGAACGATGTAAGCGTGGCAGCAGCATCGATGTCGGGACGGCCAAGTGACATGCCGAATGCCGGCGGGGACGACGACACAGGTGAGGAATGATTGAAGACATCGTGAGGATAGTATGGCGGGGGCGGCGTCGTTGCTTCGTTGTCCTCGTCAGTAGTGGTGCCCACGGAGACTCGGCAGTCAACAACCTGGCTCGGCGACGTCGACCGGGACTCAGCGTGGGGCGAAAGAGGCGAGGGGATCAACATGGTCGGTGAAGGGTCGGCCTCTTCCTGAACCTAGTCGAACATTTCAGAAAATCACGCCTAAGTATTGAGCCTGTCGGCGCACCTGAGGCAGACCGTCTTGTTCGGCGCCACCGCCATCCCCTACCGGTGCTGCGCTCGAAGGGCTACGGGCAGTGCGCTGTGGAAGCTCGTCGCAGGTATCCGCGACGCTAAGCTCCTCATCAGGGCGTCGCAGACAACGCTCCCGATGCTTCTGCCAGTGGAATAGGTCGAAGTAGCTCTTTGGAGAGAGCTTGATGCGTTGGCTGCATCGGCGACAGCGCACCCATAGTGGGCTTTGGACATCCGCGAGCGGGTCGGCGCGAACGGTAGCCTCTCGCGCCAACTCAGCATCTGTGCGGGGACGATCCTCCGTTCTGTTGAGCCCTTGTCAATATATCATAATGAACAGCCTTGACAGAAACGTACGCGGGTCGCAGAGCGCGGGGGACTTGTCGGCTAAGAGCATCGCTGTGCAGATGATCACGGTCAGCTTCATGTCAATCGGAGGTGGATCGGGCCCGTTATACCCTTTGGTTCCCGCCGCAGTAGTAGAAGGGCGGCGAGCGCGATATCTGCAATGAATGTTAGGTCATACGCCACGACTTGATGGCAAGCCAACCGCACCCGGAGCGCGAGGACTGTAGGGGGATGCCCTGCTGATGGAGCATGTCAGCTCTGGAGTGAAGGGGACAAGTAGCAGAGCTCTCTCACCGACATCGGGCCCAACCTGGCCGCGCTGTAATGCAGATGACAGATTGAGCACATTTCAAATCTGTTTCAATAGAGGAATGGGCGCACTTGGGCATCACATCGTCGCCGGTACGTCCAGCGCCCTTAGCGTTGCGTGCGGCAGGCATGAGGTGCAGACGGGGATGTGGGGGAAATAAAGTGAAGCGGCGCTGCCGATGTGTTCCCCGCTCTTTAATAGATATTGCAACGCGCCGCCTCAATGGAGCGACGCAGCCGAGCGGAAACTGCCGTAGGGGGCAGCTCCAGACGATAGGCCCGGAATCAGGATCAAAATTACGATTGTACGGCGCCAAATAAGCAACAACGCCCCAAGGCTGTCACGGTGACCACTCGGGTAGATAGGGCCCGTCTGCGCAAGGAACGTGTTACCATTGATTTCGAAAGCCTAAGACGATACAATAAAGAAGACAGACAGCAGAGGGACAATGCAAGAGGAAAACGAGTGGTATATGCGACTGTGCATGACATGGGCACGAGGGTAGGGACGAGATGAAACGCGAAAGAAGTCCAGATGTCCGCAAGCCCGATTGGGCAGTAGTTATGTGATGATGCCAGGGCAAAGGTAGCGAGCTGATGACCTCACGGGGCTGACGGACCTTCGGTCTCATCTGTGACGCCTTCCTTGAAGCCGTCGACGAAGGCTTTCAGAGGCGCAAGCAGCCAGTTGAAGCCGCTCAAGCGTGGACGCGTTGCTGGACGTGCATCTGGGTCGGCTGGGCCATCTTCCTCCTCGCGAGGACGCTTTACCCCCCGGCTAATTCCTGAAACAGGTGAAGTTGCTTGATCGACGGCTGTGGCCTCCGTTGAAGCGATGGATGGCGGTGAACGATCGGTAGATTTCCCAGAACCTTGTGTTGGCGCAATCGATTGGCCAGCGTCGTCTGCCGTATCGCGTGCAGAATCAGTCACAATCTCGGCCTGTACCGAGGGCGCAGCGCTATATTGCGAAAGAAAGACGCTAGTCAGTATCTGACTCACATACGAAGACTCGCGAAAGGGGCGTACGAGGGATTAGGACAAGTCTCCTTGTGCTTTTCCCAGCTAGCCAGATTGTAGGCCCCTTCACCCTCTAGGGTCACAGTCGCCTGACAATGCTTGCATACAACACTAGTTTTCCCGAACTTCTTGGCCGACGCGTCGTTCACGAGCTTCATCTTGCGGTCGGCGGTCGCGATTCGGCTGCTGGGGCTATACGGAAATGAATTCAGCGACAAGGTTCAAAAATTGACCAGGGGCTAGCACGCACATCTGACCGGCGCAGCTCTGTTGGTGTTTATTCCATGATTCTACTTTGTACCGTATCTTGTCTCCAAGCTGGATCCACTTCTTGCACGTCCTGCACTCCACTTCGTACGGCCGGACCTCCCCTGAACGCGGATCATCCTTTAATATGCGCTCTCTTTCTTCTTCGGTGCGTCGGGGTCGGCGACGCCCGTCTGCGCCTGCGGATGACGGGACGACGGAGCCCTGGTCGTCGTCATCACTATGCGCCTTTGTCGCACCCTCAGGTGACTTAGGCGTGTTGGGTCTGCAAATGATATATTAAGATGATGACACAAAGGGACGAAGCTAGCACATATGGACATAAGCGTATGACTATCCAGGCGTTCTCATGAAAAGTAGAGTTTACTCTAGAGGGAAGAAATATGAAGGGTCGGGTTGAAGGGACGTACGCTTGGGAACCCCGGAGTTTGCCTGAACGACAGGCCTTGATATGCACTATCCATGGCTGCATAGAGTAACGCCGAGAGGCATTCAAGGGAACCCAGTCGTCGCAGGTGGTACAGAAAGCGCGGTGTGGTTCAACCTCCCTGCACTCGCGATGAGTGCGAATAAATTCGATACGCTCTTCTTCAGTCTTCCTCGAGCCCTTGCCGGTGACTGAGTCTGCAACGGAGCCGGCTATCGACCCGGTCTCATCCGCGTCGTCCTGCTGGCGTTCGCTCCCATCAGGTGTGGCGAACCGGGATAATGGTGCCTTAGAACCGGGTGTACGGGGAGAGCCCTTGAGGTCAGAGAGCGACGCGACTGAGAGACGTTTGTTCGCGCGACTCGCGGGTTTCTTTGAAGTTGAAGTGGGTGTCGCCGGAGACGCGTCTCTGGATGAACTATATTCATGAGCCATACAATCCGAGGATCAGCTACAACGTACGCGCTCTGCTGTCCTTTGACCTGAGCAGAGTCAGTCAGTCGGCCTAGACTGATTTATTGCGCACATACCTTTCTCACAGACACTGGACTTGGTGGTGGAGGCATTGCGACCGCGTCTGCGTTTCCTGTGGTTTCACCGTCCGAACCGATATCTTGGCTTTGAACACGGCCCAAGATTAGTCTTGCGCGTCCTCGCAGTACAAGATGTGACTCACTTGTCCCCCTTGACTGATTCGCGTCGCTTACGCTGTATGGGCGCGTTTGATATATGACTACAGGTCGCGGAGTGCTCATTCCGCTCACCTTCACGGATCCCGCATACGTAGCCTTCTTCTTCCTAGGTTCGAGTCAGTATGACACCTGAGTATGTCTCGTAGTCTAACATACATTGGAGATGATCCTACTTCAGACATAACGGCAATGCGTACGATGTGGTGGTGACGGTCGGAAGCAAGCTGTGGGCGTGCGCGACACAGGCACTTGGGGTGCGAACGCGGTCACGCGACTAGCGCGTCTTCACATCTCAACATTTCCCTACGTGTCCTGTCGCTTCTGAGCCAGCTAAGGCTCTACGGATCAGTATCCGGGCATTGCGTGACGTATAGCCGCGCGCGAAAGGTCTCCGGCTGCACATCAAGTCCGTATGATCTCGGTGTGGGACGCATCGTGCATGACGACGAACGTGACCCTGAGTATTGTCGACCAAGGAGCGCTAAAGTATGACAGTTGGCGACGTGCTTCCACACTACCACGTTCTATGCGTGTACCGTTAGACGGCACTGCTCTGTATGTACGCCCTCCCTTCACGAGCTGAAGAACTGCTGAAGAAGCTTGCGACTTCGTGAAACACTTTAAATTCCGTCGGAACAAGGGCTGATGGACTCGCACAGAGTTCTCCAGCTCCCTATCCGGTCAGCGTCTTCCATATGCTCCCTCCACGCATCTTCATGCTCCATTCAGATGGTAGCGAGGTGGAAGGCGCCCAAGCGCTCAAAGCAGGCCCAGGCCTTGTGCCGTGACTGCGCGCTGTGATTGGTCCGTCACACGCCCAGAAATAATGCGGTCAGCGATTTCTTGTCACCTGGGCCTTGCTCGGCTGCAACTCCACCATACCAACTCGCGTACAATGGCGAGGGAGTGGCTGACGGGGCTTGTACTCGACGGCTATTGTACTGCATTCGTGCTTGGGCCAATTATGTTTTGACGACGTGGGCAAAGAAGCTCTCGGCAAACTCCGTTCTTTTGTTCCTTCCCGGGCGCGTTGTTCTCCCCGACATCAGCTCAACACATCAGCCTATCTACTCGAGCTGCAGTATATGGTCATGGACTCGTCGGTGAGGGTACGTTTGACATCCAGGATCCGAAAGATGTCAAGGATCAACAAATCTACGAAGCTGTTCAGTCCGACGGTTCGGGGTAGGCAGGCACGACTCCGCATGAGGAGAACCTTCGACGACCACGCGTGCCGTTTGGGTGCGTGCCGTATATAAAGCTCGGCCGGCGGCTCCGCGAGGACAAGTTTGCCCTTGCTTTGATCGACCGCCTCGCTGCCTGCGCTCTTCTCCGACAGTCTTTCTTTATAACGCACCCTCATTAAACGCTCACGCACATCCCTCGTCTGCAATGGTCTTCATCTCGACTTCCCTTGTCATTGCATCTCTCGCCGCCTCTGCTCTCGCCGGTCGCGGAGATCTCCGTGCCCGCCATGAGAAGCTCAACCGTTCCATTCACGGACGCTCGAGCAGCTTGACGCTCAAGTCCAACTACACTGGCTCCGACTTCATGGACAACAGGTAGGTTGGCGTCAAAAATCTAGCAGAGCACCGCAATCTAATCCTTCCGCAGCAAGTGGAACTATTTCACTGGCCAGGACCCGACGAACGGAAAGGTCGACTACCTCTCGCTCTCTGACGCCAAGAAGGCCGGCCTTGTCAAGAACGATGGCGACCGGTTCATCATGAGCGTCGAGTCCGGCGATCTGCCCTCTGGTACCGACCGCAAGTCGTACGTTGCGCCTTCGGCTTCATCATGTTGCGCCAACCGACCTAATGGGGTTGTAGTGTTCGTATCACCAGCGTCGAGAAGTGGAGTAGCGGTCTCATTCTCGCGGATTTCGAGCAAATGCCTCACGGATGGTACGTTTCTTTCTTCGGCTGCCAAGAACATGTTTTCATATCCGTGCACTAGTGGTGTGTGGCCTGCGTTCTGGACCGTCGGTGCCAACTGGCCCCAAGATGGTACGTTGCCTACTCCAGAACGTAGCTCTGCTGTCTGACAACTATCACAGGCGAGATTGATATCATCGAAGGCGTGAACACCCAGACCAACGTACGTACAGCTTTCTCATCGCCGAATCAAACTTGTGGCACACGTGCCATCAAACCGCGTTGAACGCCATGTGGACAAACTTGGCTGACTGTATGCTCTTCCCCTATACAGAACCAGCTCACCCTCCATTCGGGTGGCGGCGCAAACTGCACCATCGACACCAACCCGCCGCTCGTCAACGGCGTCACTGGTTACCTCGCCAATGTGTTGAACACGCAGTGCCTGTCCACCGCGACGGCTGATGCCGGGTGCTCTTTCTCTGACCCGGACCCGAATAGCTTCGGCCCGGGCTTCAACGCCGTTGGCGGTCGCGTCATGGCCATTCTCCGCGACGAAAGCGGGGTCAAGATGTGGTCATTCGCGCGCGACGACATTCCGGCAGACATTCTCGGTGGCGAGCCGAACCCCAACCTCTGGAGCTCGCCCAAGGCGTTCTGGAGTTCCCAGACTTGCGACATTGACGCCAACTTCGCTGCTCAGACCATTGTCCTCAACACCGATGTCGGTGGTGGCTGGACCGAGGGCAACCTTGCCTCTTCGGGCTGTGGCTCTGATATTGCCTCCGTTGTCGCGGATGGCTCCAACTTCAACAGTGCGTACAACATTCATTTGATTCCGTTCAGAACGATGCTGATTTTTTTGTAGACGGCAATTGGACCGTGAACTACATCGCGCTTTTCGACTGAACACGTCACAGCGTCCACCCATCTCGTAACGCCCTGTCCATGATCAACCTCGCTCTAATCTAACGTGGACACTATTCCTGGCGCTGTGCACGCTTGTAACATCAGTCTCGGTCGCACTTCCCTTACTTACATCCTCACGATACGTACTGCCTGGTGCTGCTTTAATTCTCTCTCTCTTTTGGGCCTGAGTCTCCGAAGTTGTGTATTGAATGGATCGTCTGCCTGCCTGTAAACACTGTCTTTTTTGGCACTTTCATTTGGTAATCCAGAAGGTGGTCGCAATCGATCTTAGAGAAGCACGCCCCCCATCGCTACCCCAGATCGGGTATACCGCTACCGGTACGTTCCTCCACAAACTCGGAAGAGCTATCCAGATGAGTGCGGGGCTGATCGCCACTCGGACCGAAGGAATCCAATCGGCAGCACCCTGGAGAAACTGGAAGAGCTCTAGGATCACTCAAATTGCCTCATGCTCTCATGAGTTCATTGTTGCGACCTCCCGCTCGTATAGACCTTCCAGACGACGCGCTGGTGTTGTTGGAATGGCGGAGAAGTCGCGAGGGTTCCTCGGATCATGTACAAGTCTCCCTTCATGGGCAGACTTTCCTCCGTGTAAGTCCGTGAAGTTTGATCTTGCGTCGTCTTCGCCAGCATTCATCATAATCGCCACCTACAACCGGAAACTGGAGCTGATTGATACGGTGTCTGTATGTCCGGGTCAGCTGAGAAGCATATGTTTTACTTCGGCTCGCGTCACGGTGTGATAGCACGGCTGACCACAATAACATGCGAGGTAGCGATGCAAGAAGTCCCGACTGCGTTAATACTCGGATATGGACGAAGCTGACAATCGGCTGCAGGACCGAACAATGGCCCTTGGGCGGAGAAATCACGTAGACAGCCATACCAGCCTCTGGAGCATGCATCGCCCCCTGGCTCGTAGAGCGTGGACAGGCACGACTTGGCAATGTTAATCGCATTGTTGATGTTGCTGGGACATCCGAGTACTCGGTTGGCATGCTTACGAAAGATTCCCCTTGAGCCTCCGTGCTATCAGCGTGAGTATAGGGGTGTGATACGCATACGACGGGCATGATCTCCGCTAACTTCGAAGGAGGCGCCACTGCCCTTCTTCTCTTCGGAGCTCCCCTGCATCCTGACGAGCCTAGGAGGGTACTCGGCTTTCTGCTCGGATCTGACGTCTCCGCCCTCGCGCCGCGGGGAAACCCAACGATACCCTCGTTGAGGAGGCGCAGATCGCACGACCGAGATGAGTGGCGAATTTCTGCGTCCCCTGCCGTTCTCTGACGCTCGCCAGCAAGCCGTGAGTTGAACATAGCCTCGCCGTCTTGCCCGACCGTACCTTGAATACAGTCCCTGTTACGTTCTCTCACCGAGGCGTTTCAGGCCCACGGATGCCCTCGCAAGTCGTTGTTAGTGCGGCGATGGTGCTTCCGAGCTTGCTATATGCGCCAGGACTGCTTCTCACAGGTGTCCTTGAGGTCACTGGCCGCACTTTCTACCGCCAAGCATCCCGCCGTCAGAACCTTGGCGTGTGTGTGCTCTTGTATTGCGTCGTAAGCTCTTCAGGCGTCTTTTCGTGTCGCGTGGGGGGCAGCTCCGACCGGATTAACAGCGGGCGCCGTTTTACGGTGGCGGCTAGAGCGCGCTCTGAGGAACGGCAGGGACATATATATATGATAGCGCATTGTGATGTATCAAGCTCTCATCTCCCGTACTCCAACGCCCAGCCAATTGCGCAAGCATGTCAGCGGCTTACCAGACTCTACATGGGCCCTTACCTGGCCCTGCTTCATTTGTCCAACCTCGCCGCACAAGCAAGGTATAGCATACAATCATCGGCTGGATATGCAATGATAGTAACACTTCTTTGCTATAGGCCTGTTCTAATTGCAGGTAGGAAGAAGCAGCATCGCTCGGAAGCCCAAACTAACCGGAATTATCACAGGCACGACAAGATACGCTGTGATGACAGCAGGTCAGTGCGCCGCTGTTCTGTTCGTGTAAACTGTGCTCACCACGAGCGTGAAGACCGTGTGCAGGCTGCCGTCGCCGCGGTCTGAGTTCCTCTGAGTGTGTAGAAGGCTGCGAACCGTGCAGACGAGCACGCCTGCGCTGTGATGGGCACCCACTATCGTGTGGACGCTGTACCGCGTTAGGTCTTGCTTGCGCCGGATCTGAGCCTCCTCGGCCAGTTGGTGGACTCGGACCAGTCCTGGCACCTGACCCGGCAGTTCCACCACGCAAGAATAAACTCGCATGCAAAGCATGTACGCGGGACAACAAGAAGGTACATTTCCGCTCACCCCGCTTCTATCGTATGGTTTTGACACTTCTGACAGTGCGAGGATCGCCGCCCATGCGGCCACTGCGTTCTGCGAGGTGAATCCTGTGTCCGGGTAGGGCGTGGTCCACAGGTGATTCGCGTACGGTGCCAGGCGTGCCGCGAAACAAACAGGAGGTGTGAAGACGCACGGCCGTGTCATTTCTGCGTTTCAAAGGACTGTGAGTGCGTAGACCCACCAAGAAAAGGGACAGGTCGTGGCTCGCGCGTCAAATCGGTAAGCTACCTGCGGCTGAAAGACGGCGCTCACTGATGCATATCACAGGCCTGTGTACGCTGTAGAGACGACAAGGTACGGTGTGATGGTGCTCGACCATGTCAAGGGTGCACTCGCAAAGGCGTGGCCTGTCGCGATAGACTAGGCAAAGGCGAGCATGATCCGAGCACGTCAGAGCGACCACTGTCGTCGCAATCATCGTCGAGCGCATCATCCGGCGGAGCCACGAGTGCGGGAAGCCAGCGCGCCCTGCCCTCGCCGTTGCCGTTTGCCGCGCCAGCGCCGCATGGCTCGCCGAGTTTTCCGGGTATGGCGCCAAATACTCCGGAGTCTCCATATGCTCGGGTGGGCGACGACTATTTTGCATACTCGCCCCCTAGACGAGATAAAGCGTCGCCCGAAGTCCTGCCGCCTCTGGCGTCTGTTCTGGGATGGGCGGTAGAGGGTTGGTCAAAGCGAACACCTTAAACGTCAATAGGGTCCATTCTGTGTAAGACTGCTTGTTAGTAGTTTGTGATCCGATCACGAGAGGATACATCTTGATTACAGACATTGGTAATTGCGTACAGACAGTAAACATGTATAATAATACAGTGGGTGAATCCAGAACCATGCAATACGAAGAGCATCACGATAGCAAAAACGAAGTTGCGACGGGACCAGTCGTGTCAAGAGGAGCCACCAGCGTCCAGATTCTGTAGTATCTTGTCGAATCGTCGATCTATCGCAGATAGCATCTTATCGGCCATTCGCGATACCTCGTCTTTCAAGCGTAGTCGCTCTTGGGCAATCATATCCGCCAAAGCGGTCTGAGAGCTTCCTCCAGCCTCGGTCAAGTCATCTGAGTCTCCGTGTAAAGAACGACGTGCGGCCGAGGTAGAGGCTGGGAGCGATGCCGTCGCGGAATTGCCCGTCTGTCGGTTACGGGACACCGGTGCGTCAGAATGATCCTTAGAACTGTCAGAACGACTGGCTTCCACGCGTGAGTTCGGTCGAGCGCGCTTGTACTGAGATTCGTCCAACAGCTCGTCGTCTGGAAGAGGAGCTTTCCGTTTACGCTGCTCCCGGCTGTCGAATGTGATGGTGCCCTCAATTTCTCCAGCTTTAGGGAAAGAGCAACGATATCCGCGCACAACACAGCGATCGCAGCGCACCCTGCCGCGGCGAACATACTCGCGGATGCACGAGATCTTGTCTCGGCGACAAGCTTCGCAGGGAAATTCATATACAATCACGTCCTGTTAACGCAAGACGCTATGTGTGAGACCAAAGCATTGTCATTTCTAGAATGCACAACCCACTGGAAGTCTTTTCTCGCCGGATAGAGAGGTGGGACCGCTCACAGCAGAAAGCGGGTGTTCATATGCCGGAGTGCTTTGGTCCGAGGTGACGGAGGATATGTCGCTGAAACTCTCCGCAAGATCATCATCCTGTACAATGTTTTAAAATGTGAATTGCAAATAGTCCGTAAGAAGCGTACATCTGCCTCTTCCATCGCATCTGTTGTACTGCTTTCTTCCGCGTCCGCCGTCCGCGTTTGGTCGTTGGTGTCGACCACGCGGTCGACATCCGGCTTCACTTCCGGCTCCTGCGCCTTCACCTCTGCGGACCTCCACTTGACATGCTCAAATTTCGTACGGGAGGCGTCAATACTCCGGTGAATCCGCGCAACATCCGCCTGATCTGCTTCAGACATTGTACGGCCGCTCACGCTCGCCGAGCGCTCTTTGAGTCTGTCCTGCGCACCAAACCACATAGAACATTAGTTCGGTACTCTGTGCACAGAGTTATTCAACGCACCTCAGCGCTATCTAATCTCTCTATCCATTGTTGCCAGTCTTCTGTGGACGCTTTGGCGGACGGTGTTGCTTGCAAAAGCTCGTCCACTTGAGTGAGAGACTCCTTAAGTTTATACAGCAGAATGCGTTGTGTGGCGGCCGACATAAAGATAGCTGAGCGCAGGAGTAGTGTACACTATGATATAACAAGTTTGTTTTGTTAATAGGCTAGGTGTAGCAAGTGGTGGTCGAGTTCGAAGACGGGGACGGTTCTGTTGCAAGATCTGCGACGCCATCAAGTGGTTCCCACGCCGTCTTAATCGAGGTGCTCGACAACCAAAGACGGGGACCATGCCACAATGTTTGCTGGTGAAACTCATACACAAGCCAGTATGGCGATCCACTATGATTACGCCGTGTCGCTAACCCGATGCACACAGTAGAATGGAGGCGGGCACATTGCAACTTTGATCCTTCGACTTCTTTCGCGGACTGAACACATGGCTCAACTCCTGATTGTGTTTACCCTCATACGCCACGAAGACCTACAATCCTGACAAGACTAAGGACATACACCCCACCGGATCTGAGAGATGAGATAGGTGTTCTTCGTCTACTCGATCCTCAACTGCTCTGCAGTCCGGCCGAGAGGTAACGCGAAGTCTTAAGCGGCGGGGTGATTCCGAGTGAATGAGGGACAAGAATGAGTTGTCGAGATACATTATCAACAATAGATATGCACAGGTAAACCTATGAGCCGTCATCATGCTCCTGAGCGTTTTGTATCCTCGCCACAAGCGTCTCTCGCGCGGGAGATTCGGCAAATAAGGCGCGAACCAGTCGCACAAGCTCGTCTCGCTCAAAGTCCACCAATGCACCTTCGTTGAAGAGGTAATCAACGTCGGCCAGGGAGGCTTCCTGAGATAAGTTAGATACGCAGACTGAGAACCATAGAAGAAAGACGTACCAGAAGCTCAGAGAGATAAGAGAACTTGAGCCACGACGGGACATGGGCAACAACGTGACTGGGCTGCTCTGGGTCGTCCACGTCGATGAACAGACCCTCCAGTGCATTCAGTACGCGACAGAGCTCGCTTAATCGATGAGACTCGTCTTCGGTGATATCAGGGAGCGCAAGTATATCTTCGAGCACACGGACTAGTGCTGCATCCGCCAACGCGCCAGCGGCGGAGAAATAACGCCGTTTTGTGAGCAAGTTCTGCACATGGAGAGGGTCAGCAATACATTCAGTTGAACTATGGCGCGGCCAGACTACCTTCCATCGTCTTCCGGCGTCACGGATCATACTCAATACACTGGCTACGATGCCCTCGCATGCGTCGAATGTCTCTTGATCGTGTGTATCGATGAAGCCTTCGGCCTCCCCCAGGACGTCAAGTATCTTCTGTTCCTCGGCGTCCTACAGTTGAACGTCAATATACATCTGTAGCGCACCACGCGGGGCAACTTACGATAGCATTGTCAAACCAAACGGTTCCTAGCCCCTCCAGCGCATCAGCAAGATCGGCCATATTTCGCGATCGCGCCCATACAGCAAGATACACGCAATCATTCGACCGAAACATGCCCTCATCCCGGGCGCCCTTTGTCCGACTATTGGACTCGAGCACAGGGGCGAGTGCGCGGAACACATCCAACACACCACCGGCAGCACGCCGAAGCTGCTCGCCGGCATCGGGCCCTAAGCGACTAAACTCCGAAGCAGCGCGCAAGGAAGCGGATGCCGTGTCGACAAGCGCTCTTGCTCGGGCGGTCGTTGAAAAGCGTTCCTTCTGAAGCACACGTTGTGACGGCGCAGGTGAGTGATGGTGTGACACGCCATTACGAGAGGCACCATTGGCTTTCTTTGGTTGTAGAGGTTGAACTTGCGGCGGTGGCTTCGTTGATACTGTGATCTTCGGTGGGCGAGTGAAGGAGGGTGACGCTGGTGTCGGTGGTGGCGCATGCGCCGGCGAGGATTCCGTACTCGAATGTGAAGCATGAGTTGCCTTCGTCTTGCCCTTGTTCGCGAGCTTTTCCAGTCGTGTGGCACGTTTAGGTGGTACGGCTGGCCTCGGGGCAGGGGCGGGCTCGGGTGCCGGTATCACCGACGCAGGAAGCTCGGACGAAGACTCGCCCCAAGGATCATCATCCTCTTCGACGTCCCATGCATCCGGCTCAGGTTCTGGGACGGCATGAGGCTGAGGCTCGGGTTCTGGGGCAGTGGACTGAGGCGCGGGATCTGTACTCGGCTGAGAAGATGGCTCGGCCTCGTCATCCTCCCACCCCCACGCATCCGTGTCCTCTTCAATCTCAATGGGTGGTTCCGACGGTTGAGGTGGCGAGGGCGTAACAGACTGAGGCACAGGCTCGGGTTCTGCGGCTTCCTCTTCATCCTCGTCCAAACCCCATCCGTCTCCTCCTTCAGCGTCATCGTCAAGACCCCAGTCATCCTTCTTTGCTGCGGCGGCCGGAGGTGGTGGCGATGAAGACGCGGGTTGAGCGGCTTGCTCGGGATTCGGTGAAACTGGATTCGATATTTCCAGCTCAAAAGGTTCCAATGGGCCGGCATCGCCGAGTACGATTGAACGCGCTTTCTCAAGTGCCTCTGCTACAGCCCTCCTCTCGGCATGGGCCGGCACTCTTTCCACCCACGCGCGTACCTCACGGTTGCGTCCGTCTTGTCCCAGCACACCAAGTATGAAGTTATCCTCCAGCGTAACCGCCGCACGAGTGAGCGCCTCATATGCCTTCAGCCCCATGACTGAGGACGGAAGTAACGGCTGGAGGAAGCCGTTAAAGAGCGCCTGGGTAAGCGGTTTCGCCAATGAATGCGCGAAGGCCGCGGGAAGAGCGGGAAGCAAATGAGTTGAGAGGAAGTTCAGAGCCTCTGACAGGTTGGATAACCGCGAGGCATGATCGGTGTACGCGGAGGGAGGGGCTGGCGTGATGTCCAACACGGAAGAGGACACTCGGAGGGTGGCAGGCTGCGCGAGAAGGAATTCGATCGTGTGTGTCGATATGTCGCGTTTGAGTGAACCGAGTAAGCGCTCCAGTGATGAGGGCGTAAAAGAGGCAAATATGTCCGGCAATGCGATAGTAGCGGAAGTGCCGGGGACGGGCACAGACGGCTGAATGGACACGCGCTGTTGGGATATGACCACGGCCTGCAGATACGTATGGCTGAGCTGTTCCTCGACTCGATCCTTCACTGCTCGGAAGTCGTTGCGGAACAATGCAAGCGCGTCGCTTTGCATTAGTGCAGCAGGCGAAGCTTCAAGCAAGCTCTCCAGTTCGCGCGCAGCCTCCACAGCCTGAGCCAGTTGTCCCTCCTTCGCAAGACCATCTAGTGTCTCGAAGTCTCTTCGTAATCTTGTCAGGTACGACAATGAGTTGGAGAGCATAGAGGCATCATGAGCTTGTTGGGCAAGCGACGCGTGTGCCGCTAATGCACGAAGCACTGAAGGAACAAGGCCAGTATCTGGATGCGATACATCTTCTGAGAGGGTCGCCACTCCTTCGACCAGCGTCGACAGTCGCGCTTGTACTGAACGGCTGGCAGCCAGCTGGGTATTGAAAGCCGGTAGATCGGCGGCTATGCGTGTGTGAATGCCTGCCTACTCGCTATTGAGTACAAGGCGATGCAAAATATATAGAGAGTGAACGTACCTTTGTCTCCCCAATCGCATCGTCGAGTTCAGACAGCCATGATTCGGCTAGCGCCGCAGACAACGACTTGGATGTTGCTTCTCCAACTTTGGTCAGGATCCGCGTGGAGATGTCGGGCGGCGGCGCTGCCCGCGGCAGGTGCGATGGTACAGGAAACGCCATTGCTTAGGTATAGCCTGATTTCTTTGATGTCACGGCTATGAGCGCTCTCCTATAGTCCCAAATGCGCGGATATATTGTCACGCTGAAGTACAAGCTGAAGAGCAGCCGGTATGTAGCCTCAGAGTTGTAGCCAACGAAGTGAGGGTGCTGTATACGGCTAGAAGTATATATTTGCGTTCGCAGCTTTCACTGCAGCCTAAGAGGGACACAGACTAGATCGTGGTAGTGAGGCAACCCTGGCTGGCTGGCTGCAGACCGAGATGGTCGTGGTCCGTTGACCGTCGAGCGTGGCAACATGACGCGCGCCGGGGAATGTCACGAAATAATCCTTTCTCCTCTCCCCACCACGACCTTCCTCCCCCACTTTCCCTCCACGCTCTCCGTGTGTCCTCTGATATAAGTTATAGGCTAGTGAAGATTTGGTGACTACTTCCAGAAGATGGCGCCAAGCATGCAGGTGCGTGTGGTAAATCTTCACTGGCTGTACTCCATATTAACCACCCCTTTCTCAGGCATTTGAAGATCTCTTGACAGATGTTGTCAAGGCAAAACGACTCTCTTCGTCCAAAGTCCAAGAACTCACTGATATGGGCATGCGACTCATGAAGGTGCGCTACTTCATACAGTTTCTCTCAATAGCAATCTGACGCGCGCCCCTCTTCTTTCCATGCACCCCTTTCACTCTGGCTCATACTTGGCACTCTTCTCTGCTCGCCCTGCTCTTATCTCGCGGGTTGCTCTTGTTCTGCTCCAGAGCGACACCCTGCTGGTCTCGGCCCTTTCACGTGCTCAGTCTTCCGCGACGGGCGCTCATGCCGTTCATGTGCTCTATGTGGTCGACTCGCTGGCAAGAACGGCTCGCCGATACGCCAATAAACGCGCTCTATCTGCAGATGATGGTGGAAACGCCGCCAGTTTCATGGAGAATCTGGCTGCGCTGGTCCCGATACTTTACACTGGCGTGCTGACGCCTGGTGTTCCAGACGGCAAGGTTGGTTTTGTTGCCGTTCTCACACTTTACCGTATAAGCCGTCCGAATGATGCGGCAACCGGCCGGATTATGTTTGGGCCATCGGTCTGGTCATGTTGCCACCGTCTACATCGTCGAATAGTCCACGTTGTAGACCGCAATAGTCGCACGTTGTGCAGGCAGCCTGTTGCCCATGCACCACTAACCCTAAATCAAAGCCGAAGTTATGACGCTCCGTGCGATATGCTGCACCGCCGTGGCAAACAGACGCCCATCTCCCATGCGTGGTCCCGCCTGTGCTTAGTAGAGCTATACCCTGACAAACATCCTCGAAATAGGAAAAGGCTAAGAAGATCCTTGATATCTGGCGCAAGGACCATACGTTCTCCTCAGACGTGTTGGCGGGATTGGGGAGCCAACTGCAGGAGGCAAGGGCAAAGGATGAAGGTGCCTATCTTATCCCTAACTTACCGTCTCCTCTACCACCTACGCTCTACGCTCTTCGAGCACCAAACAAACATTTGTCCATTTTTCTTTCACTGTTCATCGCGCGAGTGAGATCAAAGAATTTATACTGAAGCGAGCACGTTTCCTCCCGTCAGTGACCAACAAAACGAAAGCATCCACGCCACCGCATGCCGTCCCGACACCGAACGCCGTTGCGTCCTCGTCTACGCCCCCAGTACCGGCTGTCGATCCAGCTGCGACGCTTCTCAACCTCCTCAACCAAGCGAAATCCCTCAACCAGGCCAACGCGCTCGCTGGTGCCATACCCGCTGCCGCTGCTGCCTCGTGCGTGTACATCAATCTAACACATGGACCCACAAGTACTGATGCCTCATCACCGGTAGATTACCTCCCGCTACACTGAATGGACTAGATGAAACGCAACGTCTACTATTTCAACACCTTGCTCAGACAGCTGTCAATGCGAGCACGCCAACACCGCCGCCGGCCATCAATACAGCGTCAGTCGATCCCAGACGGCCGCGCGATCCTCGACTAGGCAGCGCCATATCGCCAGTCACGAACGGCTCCCCATACGTGAATGCACCAGCGCCAACATCAGATCCCCGAAGACCGGCTCAAGCACAGCCATCCGACCCTCGGGTTCGTGATCCTCGGGCTAGGACGCTCGACTCTCCCCTCCGCTCTTCCCAGCCGCGCGATGAGCGATCACGTAGTCCGCCTCCTCGCGGCCAAGCTCCCAGTCGGCTTGAGGGCCGACGCGAAAGCCCTATGCCACATTCCGCTGTGCCTGCTGCCGTCACTGTACCGGCAGTAGAGAGCGCGGCCACGAGCAACGGGTTGAACGGCAACACCACAGTTGGGGCGGCAGCGCCTGTGACGCTCACGACATTCGATTGGGCGGCGTTCGATCCAACATCTGCGGCGTCCTGGACTTCCCTCGCCAAAGCCTGGGAGGCGACGCATGGATATGTGCCGATGCAAGAAGAACTGATGTATGTCGGAACTCCATTGCATCTAATGCGCGAGTGCTCATCATCACACCAGGATTCTCTTGAACGTCGGTGCAGGGGTTCCGATGCCTATGATGGGTATGGGCATGGGAATGGGAATGGGCGCGGGCTTGAATATGGGCGGATTTGGCGCGGGCGGCGGACCCGCGTTCGGGGCTGGTGCGCCGGGCGCACAGAATGGCTTTGGTGCGAGCGCCGGTGCGGGTGCTGGCGTAGGTGCTGGCGTAGGTGCTGGCGCGAGTAGCGGCTTCGGCGGAGGCACCGCGCATAATGGGTCCCGAAGCAAAGATACGGACGCCATACCTCTCGGCCCCACCGCACCCGCGGAGAACGCGGTCGCTGCCCGGGGAAAAATGACCCGGGTGGGCGACAAGTGGGTGTTCCAGCCGCATGCCGCGCAAGCATGATCTCGCATATTCTCAGGCTCGAATTTACTTTATATCCCTACTGTGCATATGAACTCGCCTTCGGCTTCCATATCATCCATGTCATTTCCGGTTCGGGTAGTCTACGTATCAGTATCACGGGTATACCATAGCAAGCAGAGACAGCGCTCTTTCGCAGGAGACAAAGTCAAATCTCTATACGGCGTCAAGGTCGTGGTTTGCGACCTCGTAGTGCTCGTGATACTCGTTCTGCGAGGCACGACGGGGTACGCCGAACGTGTCTGGTGCGAATGAGCGAGGCGAGAAGGGGCTTGGCCAGAAGATGTGGTATACAGCAATGGCGCAGAGAATGCCGATCGTGCTGCCTGCAAGGACATCCTCCTTGTGGTGACGCTGTTGCACATGAGCATGGTACTCGAATGAACAGGCCAAGAGCAGCACTCACATAGTCCTCTACGCGGGAAATTGCGACGTATGTCGACCATACAAAGGGCAGCAATGTCAGCACCAGTCGCGAGTAGCGGCTGCCGATACGCGTAGGAGCTGAGCCACAGACGGAACCCGTCTTTCCAGCAAGCAATAAAGCGACCAGCGTCATGCCGACGAATGCGGTAGAGCTATGGCCAGACGGGAAGGATCGGTGCCCATCCTTCACGACCTTGGGATCGCCCGTGCATTCTTGCTTGAGAAGATCCCACGCGCAGCGGGCGAGGAAATCGGGACGCAAGCGACCAACACGATTCTTCATCAAGTCTGTCACGGCGTCATTGAGCGCACTATGTATGAAGGAAGTAGTGAGCACAAAGAATCCGTCTCGGGTAGTGTGCAAACGTACCGCGCGGCATATGCGGTCAGTACGCCTTGGTGAATCTCGAAGAGTGAGCGACGGACGGCGCCGAATATCACGAAGGCTCCGATTGATACCCAGATTGATATGTGATCGTTAAGAGGCCCGGATATACTGCGTAGGATGCCCAATGATTATTCTGGATTAAAGACTACGGGAGGGCGTCGTACCGCTCTGGGTTCGCGTGGGGGAATGAGATAAGCGGGTCGTCGAGCGACCATACGCGTTGGAAGACAGGCATGAAGTCTACCCATTTCGCAATCAAGTGTAGCACAATAGCCACTGCCCTGTACGTCGAGTCTTAGCCCGAAGCTCACGAGCCCAGTGATGAACCTAGCCGCACCAGTCAAGGATGTACGCTTTGTCGAGCCAATCAAGAGCATCATGGCCAGCGAAGGCTTGCGCCCTACGTTTCGCGCTCTCGACCCAAGCAGCCATCGTCGTGGTCGTCGTCAGAGATGGGCGAACACCGTCAGGTTCGGTGCCTGTGGGTCGACGGGGCGGATAGCTCATTTATGTAGTGATTGTTGATCGGAAATGCGCCATGATGGTGGTCAGGAACGAGGCGCCGACGCGTCCACGAGGATAGACGAGGATCTACAGGAACCTTGTCCTCTACTCTCATCAGCGTCGCTTCCGGTTCAATAGAGCTGTGAGCCGATTAGTTTCGCCGTACGTGTGCGAAGCTAACATCACGAACATGATAGGTTTCCCGCGTCAATACAACGCCAACATTTGTGAACATGAACTCTGGCGCACTATGCCGATTCATCGGGCCGGAGCTTTGAATTTGGTCGCGTCGACGTATCTTACTACAGCATATTCGCCTATCGTGATGGAATAAAGGGCAAAGAAGCTTGGGTCGACGTCCAGATCCCTTCGTGCGGTCCGCGAGGTGAGGTGACGAATTCCGCACCCTTTTATCTCCAGATAACGGCCTTCAATGGGACGAAGATGCTGGGTACCGACGGCATGCTCGACATCAACGACTTCATCGGATTGACTTCCTTTGAGCTTGTGCGCGATCTGGTGCTCGCCGATCAAGCGGCCGTCGAGTTATGGGGAGGAATAACAGGGAATCCTGTGCACGACTGGCAACACGCGGTCGCTCCGTGTCAGCCTTTCCCTATTCTCGCGCACATCTACATCATCGACTTCGACTTCATTCGGTGGCCAGGCACTATTGTGGTCGAGACGAAGATCCCGGAGTGCTTCTCGGAGTGCTTCTCGTCTTTGTTGGCCGATGCTTTTGCTTTGAAGGACGCGTATCTACCATTGAAGACGTTCGAATATGTCGTCTTCAGAAGATGCAAGATGGACGGGGACCAAGTGGAGATCTTCAGACAGAAGTTGGGTCCTGGTCGTGTACGCTTAGAGCCAGATGCTTGATGTTGTATTCCTCGTGTATCTACAACTCTGTGTATGAGCGCGTGGTCGCTACAATCATCGACCATCTGTAGTGATGAGTGAAGATCTCCCGTTCAGTACGTGTGCCATGAGCCACAAGACGATGCAAGGCGCTAGCTTGTAAGGCGACGACACCACTATTGTAGGCAAGCTGGTGTCACATAAGATCTCTTAGAATCGAAGCAAATGTCAACGACCCGGAAGTGAATGTCAATAGATCGCGAGCGCGAGCGCGCTGGTGTCGGTCGGGCGCCGGTGCCGACCGACACGGCGTCTTCCGGCGCGTGGTCCGCTCGCAGGCAACTCACAAGGCTTTCCTCTTGCCTCCACTACTCCCAACTTACATTCAATTGAGTCCTTCTCTTTCCGTCCTGTGAAATTCGGCCGGTGCCTCACAGTCGGCTTGACGTTCGGCCTGCTCCCAAGTTGATGGGCAGTCCGCTTCCATACCGACCGCGCGCGCATTCCTCGTCATGAGGCTGCGCTTGCGCGCTCTTTTCGTCGACTTCTCGACTTGGTGGGGTAAGGACTATCTTGATCCAGTTCTGGGGTGCCCGACTACACCGTCATGGTGCTGCAAGCCTGCTTAACAGTTCAGCTTTTACGGATCACGGACATGTTTCACCTTGAGCAAGTACTGAGCAACTACCAAGAGGCATCCTTGGTTGGGTGTCCCGCTGATCTGCATGGACCTGGCAACTTCGCATAACGGACGAACCTCCCTTTTGCGTGTATCACGCTTCACTGAAAACCCGCAAGTCGCCGTATTCTTTCAATGCGATGCAGAACGTTCAAGTGCTACAGCTCAGGAAGGTTGCCAAAAATAAATACACGAGGCGGCTATGTTACGAGTGGAGTTACACGTGCGGGAGTAGTGACAGGCAACAGAACACGAACGAGAATGTCGATGAGCGAATGATTTCGTGACTGAACGAGGCGATCGCCGCGAAGCTGCCTGTAGACCCGCTTTGGCATGCAACACTATAAAGTCCAACATGTTCCATTCGATCCTATACTGGCTCACCCCCCTCCCCGACGCTTGTTGCCTGCCGTTATGTCGTGGAGCATGGCGCGTCTGATTCGGCCCACCCTTCTTCTAGTGCTCTTCTGTGCGCAGAGCTCGCGCGCCTTCAGTCCATCGTTCCCCTACGGAACGGGTAACAAGGTCCGCGGCGTCAACCTGGGTGGCTGGCTTGTTCTTGAAGTGAGCCTCAGCATCACGATCCATGTGCGTTCGTTGCTGACGGACTGCAGCCCTGGATTACCCCAAGCCTATTCGACGACACTGGCAACAGCGCCATCGTCGACGAATGGACCTTCTGCCAGTATCAGTCGAAGTCCGTCGCACAGTCGAAACTGCAGGCTCACTGGAACAGTTGGATCACCGAGCAGGACTTCTCTGACATCGCCGCAGCCGGGTGCGTCTTCCTTTTTGCCATCCGCACTTCGCACCAGATGACCGACTTCATACTCTAGCCTCAATCATGTTCGCCTACCCATCGGCCACTGGGCATGGGACGTTTCGGGCGGCGAGCCTTACGTTCAGGGACAGCTCACCTATCTACGAAAGGCGGTAGGTTGGGCTAGCAGTCATGGCCTCAAGCTCGTCATCGATCTCCACGGGGCGCCCGGATCTCAGAATGGGTGCGTTTGGGGTGACCTCCACGGGCGCTTCGCCGCTGTGCGAGCGTTGTGATATCCGTTCTCTTCCGTGATCGACCTTTCTCACAATGACAAACTCATAGGTACGACAACTCAGGTCACCGACAGAGCGCTCCCGGCTGGCAAACCTCGCAAAGTAACATCGATCGCACAAACAATGTCATTAAACAAATCGCGTCCGAGTTCGCGAGCCAGTCCGGGACCGTTCCGATTATAGCGCCCTTGAATGAGTGAG